TTTGAATGTAAAATACTGAGAATACAAATTTGAATAGTTTTATTAATTAATTAAGGCTGAAAATGATTTATATTTATGTGAAATAAATAAAACAATGAGTTTCGTTTATGTTTAATCCCATAAAGTTCTTTGGAATTGAGCTAAATAAAACGGTGTAATCCAAATTCAACTTTTTTATGTGACCTTATTAATTTTTTTAAATTTTGTTTTATTACTGTTTCTTTTGCAATTAAATTGTAAATATTAATTAACAAATAAACACTACAGTTAAAAACAACACCTTTGGTTTCAATATGCTAGTTTTTGAGGAAAGTGGTCTTGTTATTTCATCAATTTATTCATACGGTTCTGTCCTTATTAACATGTTTTTTAATATAATTAACATAATACATTCCCTTTTGTTTTTATTTTGCCAAGTGCGTGCACAAACATGCTAATGTGAAGTATTCAATAGCTTTTGATGTCCATATTTGTGATACTGTTATATATGTTCTTTGTAGAGGAATTATACTTAGAAAAAACAAAAAAGTGTTTATTTCAGTATGCTGTCATTGAATTTTTGAACAGTTGTGTTAAATCATCTACTGACTGCTCTCGTGGTGCCAACTTTGTAATCCTTTTCTGCAATAAATATAAAATGATTATTTAATATTTACGTTTCCACAATAAAATAAAGTGTCTATGTATAATATCCACGTTTTTTATACACAGTTGAACTACGTAAGCATAATAGGACCATAATATTATGGTTACTATAAACAGCACTGGAACCCACTTAATTGCCTCTACGAAGTACTTAATTATTTCTAAATAATATTTGACGGTTTATTTGAGGATTGTATTATGTTACGTAATAAAGTTATTTTCATGATAAATAACGTTTTGTAAAGTTCGTTGTAGTAAGACTATCAAGATTATAATATTTGCTGTATGTTGGGTTGTCTACAATTTATTACACAGTTTAATTTATTTTAAAAAAAGGAAATTAGTATCCCTTACTGAGTCTACATTTAAAAACTATAATTGAAAGATGAAAATTCAATAATTTTCTTTAATGAAACCGCAATTATAGTTTCATTATACCCTTTGCTTTAAATTGTCCCGGCGCCTCCACCAAACTTTTTAATAAATTTTTGTATTAAAGGCTAATACCGTTTGTATAACTTAGTAAACGTCTTAATGTCGATATTAAAACGATAATTTACAATAACAGCATATAGACATAGGCATAGAGAAATTAGGCTTTTAGCCTGTCGTAATTTTTTTTTAATCTCTCCCGATTACGAAGCACCATACAGCGAAAAAGAAAAAAACCATTTTTTGTAAAAAGAATATATTAATAATTCAGGAACATTAGGAAATAATAATCTGCTACTTCCAGGTTTATAATTAAGCAATTTTATTGTACTATTAAAATATATTATATTTGTTGTAACTTTAAAAACATAGCGAAAAATTGGCTTTTTAATTATTAAAATAGAAGAAAAAAAGAACAAACATAACAAGAAAATAACTTAAATTTTCTTCAGCAAAAATAAATAAAGTAATATATAACAGTTCATAGAATTGTATAAAACATTTGATAGAAACCAAAATGTATTTTATATTATTAAGTAACGATCACAGGAAAAATGGGGAGAGGGGGGGGCGCTACTGATGTAACGTTAAGCTATCATCTTCCCAAGGTGTACACCTAAGTAACTGTTCCCTGTCTTCCTCCAAATGCTTCAAAGGAAAGGTACAACCATCTGCCATGCTAAATAAAATAATCTTATTCAATTAAAAAATTCTTAAGAGTATTCTTATTATTACTGAAAATCAGCCTCAATAAAAACCATTAGGTATAAATTTATACTGCAATAAGTCGTCCTAGCCTAATGTAGCCAAGTAATTAACATAGAAGAAACTTAATTGGTATTGTATGTACTATGAACATAAAACGCTGTTGTAACTTAATATTTACTTCTAAAAACTTAAAATAAACAAAAAAAAACATGCATATTCATTCATTTGTTTTACAAAGCAATAAACTACTTGTTTTGGTTGATATTTAAACAAGTTTTATGTCTATGAGGTGTACATTTCAATGATGTCGTTGAACTGTTTTTTTCCTTTTTTTATTAAGTAAAAGGGTAGGACTAAATAGTAAAAACAAATAATAATAGTAACCATTTATTGTATAGTCATATAAAGTAAAAAATAAAGTTACAGGGTATTAACGAAGCAAAGTAAGTACTAAATTTAAGGTGACGATTTAAACAGGTTCTCCATTGTGCAGTTTTGCTGTCTCGATATCTTGTGAACTGCCCAAAAATCGAAATTCAATTATTAAGGACTCGACAACATTTAAATCATTTTATTAAAAAAGATTTAGTATGTGTTAATTCGGCAAAATTAAACGTTTATGCATTAGAAATAAATTTTGTTATTATAAATCATGTAAGAACTGTTTTCCACTACGACCTACGCTATGATGCAATAAATAATTAACGTTAATTATGGCTATAAGGGCGACAAGCAAAGTGAATTAACTCCCTGCAGAATATATTCTATCCAAATTGTATTTTTTTTTTCTTAACATTGGAATCTAAAACTTTTAAAATTTTGTAGTTTCTGTCTATTTGTTCTCCAGGGGCTTGTCACCCCTAAGGCCTTAGTGCTATTATGCATGCTTTCAAGGTATATAAAACGAGAAACGAATTTAAAAATGACAAAGAATTTGTTAATAAGAGGGACGGCCACCACCCAGTTTAATATTAGCTGCTTTTAAATTATTACAGTCAACTAAACTCTACATCTGGCACAAGAAAACATTCTGACCTGGTTTGTGTGGTGCCCATTGAATGATAAGAAATTGGTTGATGTCGAGACTGAACAGGGTACATAGTGCCATCACCCAAACTACAAAAACAAAAGAATTTCTAATTTTTCACAATCCAAGAAATAAAAGGGGCGTCTCTTGAATGTTTTATATGTCGAAAATGTGTTGGTGGCACATTGATTTTCTTTTGTTTAAAACCAAAAACTAAGTTTATCATGTAAAACAAAAAATGAATGATTTGTAAATAAACAAATAAAAAGGCCTAGTTTTCTACCTAAGTATGCAGTAAATGTATATCATTTAAATGACATCCACTAAATACGTGTTTTACCTATTATGTGCGCATTACACATAAATGGTGCATTACTAACATTCAAAATAAAGGTGAGGCTGATGAATAAACAAAAACTGTAAGATAAAAGCAAGCAGATCAAGTCTAAAAAAGTTATATACAATGTGAAAGATCTTTTGCAGCTTACACTGACACAACTATTTTATAAACTGACCTTGTTTTAATTGGAATAAGCCACGTTTTGGGATTTTCTCCAAATACAGCCAGAAAATTGTTGTATGTTCCTAAGCTAAAACCGTTTTTGTCTGGACCATGGTGAAATATGGGGGGCCGAAAGGCTTCTGAAAATTATTCAAAATTGTTATAGAAACAATACAAGCAATTATTAGACTATATAGTACCTAATGTTGTACGATTTTTGGAAACCAAGTAAACATGGTAACCAAATAATGATACTAAGCTCACAGCAAACATTAAGGCGACGAAAAATAAAAAGAGGATGTGAAACCTTCCCATTCCTTGTAAATTTCCCTGTATAAGTAATCATAAAACATCTTAATAACTTATTAAAGTATTAATTAGTCAAAACAAAATTTTAAGAAATAAAAAAAGACTTCACTAAGCTTATATGTTACCTGTTTATGGGGTTGGTACAACAGATCTACTTTTTATAACCATTACATTATATATTAATGCATTGCATAGCAAATACAATTTACTAACCTCATTAATATCAGATCTTCTTGATAATTACTGTACAATATCACCACATTCGTACATTAATTTATAAAAGATGCATACCTGCCAAAAGGAGATAAAGTACTGCACTGAAGTTAATGATATATAAATGCAGTATATAAGGGAATATCCTAAAAACAACATAAAATACTTGTAATTTGAAAAACAAACACAGTTGTTAACCCAAGGACAATGGTGATCCATTTTGAGTATACATTCTCCACAAACAGAGCAGTGGTGTGCTCTATCAGGTTTTATGACCTGGCATTTCTCACAATATCTTACAGAACCATTACTTGCACGATTTGTTAGAGGCAAATCCTGAGCAAAGGTTTCTAAAATGTTTCGTTGCATTTCTTCTGAATTAGCATGCATCAGTCTATCTAGTTCTCCCTCTGGTAGTTTAAACTAAAATATTATTGTGAAACAAACGCAGTATTTATGGAAAAACATATACCTTTTCAGGGACACGAGATATATCAGTAAAAACTGTCTGCCAATATGCCCAAACAAACATTATAAATGTAATGTGGTAGAGAATCAAATATATGGTTCTTTCAGCAGTTGAAGATATTGTAACTGAAAAATTTCATATTAAACTTATGTCTACTATCAGATAAGGTAAAAAAAAATTATATGAGGTGGAAAAACATGGGGGCACACTTACATATACACAGTTGAACTACGTAAGCATAATAGGACCATAATATTATGGTTACTATAAACAGCACTGGAACCCACTTAATTGCCTTTAAACACCAAAAGCATGGACCTTTATTAAATCTATCATTTCTTGGAATAGCCATTTTTACAGACAAATTTAAAATATTTCTGTGATTAGATTATTAAGTCATAATATGTACACCTCCATTATAAGCAAAAGGAAGTGGAGATGTTCACTAATTAAATAAAACTCACATTTTTGTCATAAAAACATAATAAAATACTGTTTTACTTTTAGAATGAAGGTTATAAATTGTTATTAACAACACCACAAAATATCTATGACCTACATCTGTGTCATGAAAATGGAAATATAAAGTTTTCCCCTAGTTTCAAAGTATAGTAAATTCTATTCATCATAGACATTTAAAATCAAAGTAAATATTTAAAATTATATTGAAAAACAGTAAAATATTTCCATATCTTGAATAGAGATTATTGAAAAACTAATTTACATGTGATTTCCATCAAATAATTACAGTTGCTTAAGAATAATGAAATGTTTGAAATAAAGTTTTAGAACAGTATCTTTAGTAGTAGTAGTTTACTATGCTAAGTTGGTCATATGTAACCAGTAACTTTGTAAATTTATTCCATCATTTGTATCTATGAGTAATATTTAACGATGAATCAGTTTAATATTATACAAAGTTTAAGAAGTTTGTCGGTTAAAAATATGTTAAAAAGTTAGAAGTAAAAGAGTATAAATTGCTACAAATGTTGTCATATAGCTTTAGTTAGCGTATCACCTTTAAAATTGAGAATTATTTTTTGACGTATCCTTTTGACAAATATACACCATGCCTAGCTTAATCGGAGTTTCAGAGTTTGTGGAGGAAACAAGGGAAGATTATAATTCTCCAATTACATCTACATTTGTTTCCCGCATGCAGCAATGTCGAAATACAATAAATGCTCTAGAAGAGGTTAGTACCCGTACCCCTCTGCAAAAGTGGTATATCTGATGTAAACAAGAGGAGCAGTGTCTCTTGTTTTGCCCCTTCTTGTAGTAATTGAAGCAGGATTTGTTTTTAATGAATGTTAGCAGTTCCTGAAAAGTTTTCTTAGCAATGAAGTTTAGTTTATTAAGTTTACCAATGTTATACATAGTACAAGATGCCGTGTTTATATGTGATATGTGGTTATTTGACAGTAACTTATAATTCTATTGTCGTTTTCAGACTCTAGATTTTGATAGGGATGGTTTGACAAAAATGAAAAAGGCCATAAAGGCCATATATACGTCTGGAAACAGTAAGTAATCATTCAAAAATTAGAACTTTGGAGTGAAATCGTTTTTTTTTTAGCTCATGTTGATAATGAAATGTACTTAGTTAGAGCATTAGAGAAAATAGGAAGTAATGCTATACCTAAAGACCAAGAGGATGATATAGGCGCTGCTTTTATTAAATTTGCAATTGTTACTAAAGAACTGTCTGCTCTAATGAAGACTCTCATGCAAAATTTAAACAACATTGTTATGTTTCCTTTAGACAATCTTCTTAAAGGTGATCTTCGTGGTGTAAAAGGTGATCTAAGAAGACCTTTTGATAAAGCATGGAAAGATTATGAAAGCAAGTATGTTAAGATTGAGAAAGAGAAAAAGCAACAAGCAAAGGAGGCAGGGCTTATCCGATCAGAAGTTACCAGTGCAGAAGTTGCAGATGAAATGGAGAAAGAAAGGAGACTATTTCAACTGCAAATGTGTGAGGTTTGTATTTTGTTTATTTATATGATTTATCTCATACAATGCATCAAGGCAAAACTAATTACAAGCTCATTAAATGTAACTGAAAGGTGTTTTGCTATAATTATTTTCAATATTGTAGTATTTAATAAAATTTAATGAAATAAAAACCAAAAAGGGCATTGATCTCCTCCAAAATCTTGTGGAGTACTATCATGCACAAACAAAGTAAGCTTAAATTGCATATTAGCATATTTTATTTGTTTATTAATAAATGTATTTTAGTTATTTTCAAGATGGATTGAAGACCATAGAACACTTTGGTAGTTATGTAGCAGATTTAAGTATTAAACTACAGAAAATTAAACAAAAGCAGGAAGAAGAACGGAGAAAACTCACAGACCTTAGAGCATTATTAAGAACAGTTCCAGGTATTGATAAAGAGGTATGTTTCTTTTATCTAATGATTAGATAATGCCCATTTGTTTTTTTTTTTTGTTAGTAACTGCTTGTTTTAAAGTAAAGAGTACAAATATAACATTTATTTCACAAAAAGATTACATAAATGCACACTATAATTACAAAGTAATTACTGTATGATTCAGTAAACTTCACAGAGGCAATCAATGTTACCTGTTTATGGGGTTGGTACAACAGATCTACTTTTTATAACCATTACATTATATATTAATGCATTGCATAGCAAATACAATTTACTAACCACAGAAACTAGTTAAAATAAAAGTAACATATTCATACTAACTTGCATGTTTCAGAATAATTCAACAATTGATAAGACTGCAGTTTATTCATTACACCAGTTACAAGGGGACAAACATCATGGAGTTACCAGGAGTGGCCATCTCCTCAAAAAATCTGAAGGTAAAATGAGACGGGTATGGCAGAAAAGAAAGTGCTGGGTGCAGGCAGAAGGCTTTCTTGATATATGCCATGCTGATGAAAGCAAACCACCAACACGAATAAATTTACTTACCTGTCAGATTAAAATGGTACCTGATGATAAAAGAGGATTTGATTTGATATCCTGTAAGCTAATTCCGTTAAGTTTGAAAATGTGTTGTAAGCAATGTTTTCTTTTGTTCAGATAATCGAACTTACCATTTTCAAGCAGAAGATGAAGCTGATCAGCATGCGTGGATGTCTGTTCTTGTTAACTGTAAGGAAATGGCTTTGATGAAGGCATTTGATGACAGTGGGAAAAGTGGTGGGGATAAAGTTAATCATAGTTTAATTGAACTCCAACAGGCTATAATTAGGTATATCCAAAGAATACCTGGAAATGACCATTGCTGTGATTGTAACTCTCAAAACGGTATTTAATTCAATTTGTTGTGGAAAGTGCCAACCACATTATCTAAACTATTATCCCCCTAGATGTCACTTGGTTATCAACGAATTTTGGTATAATTGTTTGCATTGAATGTTCAGGAATACATAGGGATTTAGGCGTTCATATTTCTCGAATACAATCCCTTACTTTGGACAATGTAGGTACTAGTCAGTTGTTACTTGCAAGGTTTATGACAAACCAAGCTTTTAACGATATCATGGAAGAAAATTTACCTTTTGGAAATAAGCCTACGCCGTCCAGTACAATGTGCGTTTGGTTCATTTAACATCATCTTTGATTTATTCGTAATATTTACTCATTTAATGTTTTAGGGAAGAACGATTTAATTTTATAAGAGCAAAATATGTTGAAAAACGGTATGCAATGAAGACAGGTAGCAATGAGCATGATTTAGAAGATGCCGTTAACAGTGGAGACTTAGGATTATTGTTGCAAGTGTTTGCAGAAAATGTGGACCTTAATGCAACTTTACCGTCATCTGTATTATATTCTTAATTATTTTATTTAACAAATTTATAGTGTCGTTTTTTTTTAGGAAACTGGCGAAACAGCTTTACATCGGGCTATTGTGCGAGAAGTGGGGAAATCGTTACCAGTTGTTGACTTCCTGGTGCAAAACATGTCGTCTCAGGGGATCGATAAGCAGACAGCACCTGCTGTGGTGCCTGATTCAATTGGTTGTAACACTGCCCTGCACCTATGCGCTCTTTATGATAAAGTGGAATGTATGAAACTGCTTTTACGTAGTGGAGCTGATACTGCAATAAGGAATTCGCAAGATAAGACTCCTCTGGACATTGCGAAAGAAAGGGGCCACTATCAGTGCCAAGAACTGGTAAATATAATATTAGTGTCTAGGGAAAAACAAATAGTATTTCTGTAAATAATAACTTATTTGGTACGTTGTTACAGTTACAAAACAGTGCTAATAGACAAAAACATCTGTTTGATAATATAAACATTGATTGGAACTTATCACATGAAGATGGTTCAACCGATTTCTCGGATGATGAAACGATTATAGATGATCGAGTAAGTGAAATCAAAATTGAAGTATTTTATACCTTTTATTTTAGTTGTTAGTTCATTGTAAATTGAATTTAATTTTTATGTCCATATTGTAGAATGGATCTCTGACCCCTGAGAAACGCAATAGATCTAGGCCACCAAGTTATACTGGGGGAGAATCTCCAGTAACATTGAGATCCAGATCGTCAACGTGTGATAGTCTTCAATCTAGCAGCAGCCCAAACAGTAACAGTAAGCAAATGCCACCTCCACCTCCACCACAATCTAGAAAACCTGTGATACGTAAGCGTTTTTTTTTTTAAATATTAAAAACTATTTTACATAAACTTTTTTCTAATTNAATTGTAAATATTAATTAACAAATAAACACTACAGTTAAAAACAACACCTTTGGTTTCAATATGCTAGTTTTTGAGGAAAGTGGTCTTGTTATTTCATCAATTTATTCATACGGTTCTGTCCTTATTAACATGTTTTTTAATATAATTAACATAATACATTCCCTTTTGTTTTTATTTTGCCAAGTGCGTGCACAAACATGCTAATGTGAAGTATTCAATAGCTTTTGATGTCCATATTTGTGATACTGTTATATATGTTCTTTGTAGAGGAATTATACTTAGAAAAAACAAAAAAGTGTTTATTTCAGTATGCTGTCATTGAATTTTTGAACAGTTGTGTTAAATCATCTACTGACTGCTCTCGTGGTGCCAACTTTGTAATCCTTTTCTGCAATAAATATAAAATGATTATTTAATATTTACGTTTCCACAATAAAATAAAGTGTCTATGTATAACATCCACGTTTTTATTTACAACGAAAGAAATATATTTTCCGAGAAAATCATCAAATAAATTGCAAGGATGTTTTTCATTTTGAGTAACGCATGGGGAACCTCTAGAATCCAATGTCGTCATATATACAATTCAAGTAGTGTTCGACTGCTAAATACGTAAAACCTTTGTCGTTTTTATTGGTTACCTTTAATTGTTATTATTCTTTTTAATTGCTATCGGCTATGTCATCTATTCGAAAAATGTATACGGGATACAGAGTTTGTTGCGTTAAATTAGAAAATCGCATTTTTTTGTTAGGGAATAAATGCACAAAAAAAGTGCCACTGTCTGATTTATACTTTTGTCTAATTTTTGTAAGTATTTTTATATTATAGTTTTATTGCGAAGGAGTACCCACTTCTATGTGTTTTAGAACATGTGAAAACGGTAGATTCAAATATTCCTGCTGTTTATTTTTAATATGTGAGTCACGGTAGTATTCTTTCTTTTCATTTTTTATATTTTAGTACTTACAATTAACACATTTTTTAGTGCCAATTGCATTTTTCGTTTACTGGAATTTAAGATGATTTATTTAAAAATATAAAAGTAAAAGATAATTTTGCACTTGTTAACGGTTAATTCTAATGGGTCACATCTACTTTTAATGATATATGGTTATCTAAAATGATTGTTAATAAAACAAGTTTGAATGTTTCACATTATAATTGCTTGTTAAAATTTTCAAGTTCATTTTTTATTATACTTAACAAGTCTGTATTTTTTTATAATGGCACAGACATAACATAACATAATCAAAGAAAAGTGTGATATAAGTTTTTATTTGAGGTATTACTCTAATGTAAAACATTATTGGGGATATTGGAGTACATGCAAAGATAATGTGATATATTATAGATGATTTTAGTTGATATAGTATTTACAGTTACTGCTGTTATGTCGAATGTTTAAGTGGAATGTTTTTTTGCAGCGGCAAATGTTCATGGTAGTTTAAAGAAAAGGGTGGCACCTACGCCCCCAGCTGGTTCCCTCTATGGGCCCTCGGTTTCAGGGATGACGCAAGCTGGTACTGTTAACATCTATGGCACTTTGCCAAGTAACCATAGCCGTACACCCTCAGACCCTGCAGTTGCTGGTTATCACACCCTCAGCCACACTCATAAGCGCTCTCCTAGTAGTGATTCCAGTGCCAGCCGATCTGTGATACATATTGGTTAGTTTCTAATAAAGGAAGAAGTTAAGACACAATGTTCAAAGTAAGATTGTGACGTTACACTTGAGTCACATTGACCGTATCGTGTGGCATTTTTTTCTTAATACACTTTAAAGTAATATAATAATAAATTTCTTGGATGATTATTAATTTAAAATCTTCCTTTACGTCTCTTATTTTATTTTGGTTGAATTTTGTATATTTTAATTGTATACGTTTTTTTATTTAGGTAATAAACTAGTCATTCCCTGCGATGGTAGGGGTTCAGATAAGCACTTGTTAAAGCGTCCTCAAAATCCACCTCCTCCAGCACCTAACGTGAACTCTAGCAGTAGATTATCAAATGGGAGATCAACGGAAAGTATAACATCGGTGACTTCAGACGTGGATACGTCAGGGGGGCCGGTACCCCCACCACGTAGGGTAAGTTGTTTGGCACTAATTGTAAGTTAAATTATTTTATTCTATTTTTTTACTCGACTTGTAAAACACCTTTGTTTTGCAAATGTTATTGTTGTTTCTGTTCTTTTGTTTAATGAATATGTAGAATATTTAGGCTGATTGGTTTGCAGAGGAAAGACAAATGTCGTTTGGAGAGTTGTACTGAAGAGAGTGATGTGACAACTCCGGTAAAAACATTGTTTTTAGCATGTTTTTATTTAAAAGGCATGCAAATCACCCATTTAGCAATATTGTGTGTTTTATGCATACCTATCTTGTGCAGTGCTAACGTCTTCAAAGTACATATTTGTTATTCATTCATTTTTCTCTTGCAGTTTTTTTTTTCAAAAATGTGTTTTTTATTTATATTTACATTTTGCCCTAACGAATGCTGTGTTTGGTTTTTGTAACCATTTCTTATAAATGTAGGGTGTAAATGGTAAAGCTAAACAGAAAGAAATATCGGTATTTTGAGAGGTAAGCTGTGTACCTATAAACTTATTTTTTATGCTACCTACTTGATCGTGTTGACACAAAGTTCATACACTGTATTTTAATACTGCATACCCTTTACACTCTAAAATAAATCGCTTAATAAAATGTTCTCTAGCACTGCACAAATTTAACATTCACGTAATTTTTTAAAAAGGAGTTAATAAATTGGTTCAGGTTGGTATGCTATTGTACTTTAAATGCCACAAAAACAATACCTATTGAACTTACATACAGACCATTTTTATGACACTTATGGGCAAGTTACATAAATTTAGTTTTATATATGTGCTGGCAAATTGGGCTATTTCAAATTTTAAATCCATACAGTCAATTAACTTGCATGAAAAATCATGTATTAACGTACTTCCTTTTTATATTTTTTATTTTATTCTATCACATTATTACATATGTAGATAATAGATTAAAGGAAGTACTTCTATCCTGTCTTTGTCACAAATTACTTAATCGTTTTAGGTTTATGTCCTTACTTTTTCTCTTAATTTGAATACAGTTATAGTACATTAGGAATTTTCAGTCTGTTGTACATGAATGAGACATAATTAATACATTACTAGTAGGTTTGGTCCTGTCACAGTGATTTTTTCTTTAAATTTATAGCTCTCAAGTAATTATATAGTAATGTAGTTTTGTACTACAATTATATCATAACGAACACATACGCTTACCTATTTGCTGATATTACGTACGAGGTATATAGTAATACTGGTAGATGGCAACATAATGAAATTGAGTAATATAGAAGTTTAATAAGAAAATACTATAATTCAATAACCAACAGTTTCAATTCAAAGTATTTCTGATTCACTAAAAGAAATTACCTATTTAATGGCACCAAATTTATATGGATGGATTAAATATGTCTTTAAAGAAAAAGGGTTCTTGATATAATAATATAATTTTTTGAAGGAAAACAGATATTAATTCGTATTTTGTATGAAAACATTGTCATTTATAAATATTTGTTTTTTCTAAAGGCATCAGACTCGCCTCCAATGAAGCTAGCATCTAGTCCTGTATCAACTGGGTCGCTGTCATCTACGCAATCAATTCCTGGAAGATTAACATACGTGCCGAATGGGGCAGGTATTAAACGCTGTCGCGCATTATACGACTGCCAAGCGGACTACCCTGATGAACTTTCTTTTCGCGAGGGTGAAATAATAAGAGTAATCGAAGAACAAACGGATGACGAAAACTGGATGAGAGGGGAGATCGAAAACGAACCCAAAAGGAATGGAATGTTTCCTATAAGCTTTGTGCATATGTTGCCGGACTAAGAATAAGCATAAGTGTAGAAAGAACGGCTCTAACTAAAGATAATTAACTAATTAAATCTTAAACATAGCCCAGTAATCATTTTGTTAACGTGATGATTGTGGCATTAAGAAACGTTCTCTAAACTATACATACATACATGCAGTTTTTATTTAACCAAAGGCGGATTGTTACAATATTGTTTTCATTTGCTCATTTTATTAATAAATGTGGGATTTATAATTTAGACGCTTCAACGATTAAGGTTAATTATTTTTTCGTGGTTGGAGTCCTTCTGAAACCCTTGTAGCCTATTGTATATACATGTAAGTCAGTGGTTTTGTATATAGTCGAATTATTTTAAATAGCGATCCGTTAATGTTGGAAGTGCAATCCAATGTCGTCATATATACAATTCAAGTAGTGTTCGACTGCTAAATACGTAAAACCTTTGTCGTTTTTATTGGTTACCTTTAATTGTTATTATTCTTTTTAATTGCTATCGGCTATGTCATCTATTCGAAAAATGTATACGGGATACAGAGTTTGTTGCGTTAAATTAGAAAATCGCATTTTTTTGTTAGGGAATAAATGCACAAAAAAAGTGCCACTGTCTGATTTATACTTTTGTCTAATTTTTGTAAGTATTTTTATATTATAGTTTTATTGCGAAGGAGTACCCACTTCTATGTGTTTTAGAACATGTGAAAACGGTAGATTCAAATATTCGTGCTGTTTATTTTTAATATGTGAGTCACGGTAGTATTCTTTCTTTTCATTTTTTATATTTTAGTACTTACAATTAACACATTTTTTAGTGCCAATTGCATTTTTCGTTTACTGGAATTTAAGATGATTTATTTAAAAATATAAAAGTAAAAGATAATTTTGCACTTGTTAACGGTTAATTCTAATGGGTCACATTTGATAATGTTTTTGTGCATATCAAAAGTCCTAGCCTTGTTGCTTATAATGTGAAAGTAAACGTGTGAGAGGTTCCTAGAGAGTCAAGAGCTACCTCGCAAACAAAAAAATATTTCACGTAGAACTTTTAATAAATAGTTCCATACACTTTTGTGTAATTAATTAAATTTGATGAAGGTAATTAAGACAACGTTTACTTTTTATTCCCGAAATATATGAGCAAGGACTTCGGATTAGCACTATAATTCTAATACAGATGAGAATTACTACTTGTTTAACTGTAACTGTAGATTCAATATTTTGTTATTTAAAAGTTTATCAAAGTAATAATTGCGTGATGATTTTATATGTTTGAAATATCATACATAATAATGGAATAATAATTTTTTGTATTCGGTTGGAAGCTTACAAAGACATAAGAAAACGAATTAATTCATAACGTTATACTTTTGATGAAGAAATATTTATTTAATAAAAGGTGAATATGTAAATAATTACTTAATATATTATTAGTAAGTCTTTAAAGTACTTATCAGGTTAACTGGATTAATTTGTAAGCTTTTACCATTTGGCCTATGATATCAGACCTAATAATATAGGTATATACGAATGAGATGAACCGTTATGTTAACCTTTTCTTTTCTTAACTATTATTAAAACAGAAAATTGCATGTACAGGAAGTTATCGTTACATAAAATCTAATATGTATTGGGTGTATTAAATATTGTTTGACTGATGTACCTTTTTGCCACTGCAAAAAAAAAAAATAAAAACAAAATGTTGTGGCATGTTTGTGTGAGAAGCCATATTTTTGTAGAATTGTATAAATATATCTTGTATTGTCCCTCATACATTACCATACCAAAGATGAAAAGTCTTATTTTCGGATATAAATCTGTAGTTAATTAAATAAATAATTTATAAATATTATGTACATATATTTTTAGATACACGTTTTAAATTAGTTATGAAATGTGTACGTATGACATTTATTTATTTTATTCTGCAAAAGTCACACACGTCTGTATAATATCTTCAACTTCCCAGTTTATTCTTCTTCATTGTGCAAATTTTCATATGCACTTATTAACAGGACTCTTTCTATCAAAAATAAATGTAATTAAAACAAATAATCCTTTTTTTATTTTACACAACAGTTATTACAACAAACATCACACTTTACAGGTACATACTATGTTTATTTTGAATCAGTTTTGTTATATTTTCTTATTTAGTTTCAGGATTTGCATTTCGAAACTTCATTTTATTTATTATACTGGATCTCCTTAAAATCCACTATTATTAAAGGTAGAAGACTCTAAGGATTACAAATCAATGGAATTTTATGAGAACTCTTAGGAGCTGGAGTAATGTCTATATAGTTTTTCTTTTTGGAGCTGAAATAAGCGAAAAACACTTGTTTATTAAAATAATTTATGTCATTTGAATGTAAAATACTGAGAATACAAATTTGAATAGTTTTATTAATTAATTAAGGCTGAAAATGATTTATATTTATGTGAAATAAATAAAACAATGAGTTTCGTTTATGTTTAATCCCATAAAGTTCTTTGGAATTGAGCTAAATAAAACGGTGTAATCCAAATTCAACTTTTTTATGTGACCTTATTAATTTTTTTAAATTTTGTTTTATTACTGTTTCTTTTGCAATTAAATTGTAAATATTAATTAACAAATAAACACTACAGTTAAAAACAACACCTTTGGTTTCAATATGCTAGTTTTTGAGGAAAGTGGTCTTGTTATTTCATCAATTTATTCATACGGTTCTGTCCTTATTAACATGTTTTTTAATATAATTAACATAATACATTCCCTTTTGTTTTTATTTTGCCAAGTGCGTGCACAAACATGCTAATGTGAAGTATTCAATAGCTTTTGATGTCCATATTTGTGATACTGTTATATATGTTCTTTGTAGAGGAATTATACTTAGAAAAAACAAAAAAGTGTTTATTTCAGTATGCTGTCATTGAATTTTTGAACAGTTGTGTTAAATCATCTACTGACTGCTCTCGTGGTGCCAACTTTGTAATCCTTTTCTGCAATAAATATAAAATGATTATTTAATATTTACGTTTCCACAATAAAATAAAGTGTCTATGTATAATATCCACGTTTTTATTTACAACGAAAGAAATATATTTTCCAAGAAAATCATCAAATAAATTGCAAGGATGTTTTTCATTTTGAGTAACGCATGGGGAACCTCTAGTTTGATGACTACAGACTTACTTGTGGTAAGGTACCTTCAACAAGTCTAGGTACATCATCTTCAGTATATCCTAGAGCTCCTATTCCATTTTCAATTTTCAACTTTTGCATATAAGTCCTTATAACATCGGAAAGGATAAGTCCGGCATCGTCCTTCTTGGCATTCAATACATTTGCGCCAAGCAATTCTGCTGCCCTCAAATGTCTTTCAGGACACGCAGGACTCGTAAATTCAAATACTGTGGGGGCTGTTACTACAACTGATAAACCGTGAGGAATAATAGGATGGTCTTTACTAAAACAAAACACATATTTGGATCATTAAAACTGTTTTAATTTTTCAAAATTTGTATGTACCTACTTGTATCCTTCAGGATTAAAATTCTTTGCCATACCAGCAATAGGATAGGCCAAGGCATGGCACAAGTGGACTCCTGCGTTTCCGAAACCTACCCCAGCCATAGAAGCTGCCAAATGCATGTTGTACCTCGCTTTTTTATCATCAGAATGAAAAACTGACCTAATTAAATAATATATTGAACCAAAAAGAAATTCCAATGACAATATTTTTTTACCTTTCGAAGTATTTGTTGAGGGTACTTAACGCAAACTGCGCCCAAACGTCGGAGACGGGATTTCTTCCTTGGTAAGTGGGTCTTTGAGAAGGATTACTAGGTCTTGGAGTTCTTTCAGTATACGGCAAAGTTGTAAATGATTCCAAAGCGTGACAAAAGACATCAAATCCACTATAGGCACTGACTCGTTCTGGTAATGATAATACATGTTCTGGATCTATGAGTCCTAGTATGGGCCGAAGATACCTTCCTTGTATCCCAGTTTTAGCTTTTTTGGGAGTGTAGTCGAAGATTGCGGCTGCAGTGGTTTCACTTCCGCTTCCGGATGTTGTTGGAACTGCGAATGGTTCAATTTTAAAATACTTTGCGATTGATCTGTGAAACACTCGGTTTTTACTTGCGATCAGCGGTTTAAGTGGCTTGTCGATGGTTTTTCCTTTTCCTAAAGGACTATTTACGAAATCTAAAAAGTCTGCGTGCGGGTAGCTGGAGTACAAATTGGCCGCTTTTGCTGTATCAATAACTGAACCTCCCCCTACTGCAATAAAACCGTCAAAATTCGACCCAATTGCGAATCTTGCTGCTTGCTTAAAACTAAATAAATAAAACATTAACAATTGTTATTATATGTTTGAACAAAATAAAGTGAAATGGGGATCATAGCAGAAATGCCCTCGTCGTACTGGTTCATAGTTTTGTGAACTTGTCAATTCTGCTATTTTATTTGTAAAAAAAATGCATTAAATACGCAGTATGCTTATAGTTGTTGTTAATGTTTTAATAAAGTCATACACGACATAACAATGATGTTTTTGTTTTGTTTACTACACATTTGCGGGTTTTAAAAAACGTTGGGAAAAATACTTCCTGTTGATGCAGTTTATCGTTTTTCTTTTTCGAAAAACATGGCTTGTCTGCCCGTATTTGCGGTATCATTATTCTTGAAAATTGTCTATTTCACTCATTTTTGTTTGATCTTGCGGTCAGAAAGACCTCAATCAAGGTTCAGTCGCATTGTATTTACTATTTCCTGAAGTTTGTAAACATAACAAGACTGTACAATAATGATGTTTACGTTTTATTTTTGTGGCAAATAGGCACGCATGCATGTACCTACTAATTCTATCCATTCACGGTGTAAAAATAGAAAGTAATTGTGATATCGTCCTTTTTTCAATGAACACAAAAAAAATAAATTCTGAAGTATTATTAATCGTCGTTTCCAGAAACAAGATAAAATATAAGATAAATCAAAGTTTTTTCTTTTTCTTTTAATTGTATGATGTTTAAATATACCCAAGATAAGTATTTACCAATTCTCACAAAGACAATACTTAAATGAATTCTTTCTAAGTACAATATTACTAATTACTGCACAATAATTTTAATGAGTAATGGAAAAAATAATGCATTATCTTTACCTCTCCTCGTTAGGTTCGATACGAACTTGATCGTACACTTCGAATTTTACTTGATGTTTTGCTAATGAGTCCAGAGTGACCTTAAGGGGTGCAAGTTTTGATATGTTTGAATCAGTAATAACGCATACATTTTTTAAATTCAAGTTTAAAACGTCCAGTCCTACTTCTTTTGTGACTCCTGGTCCGAAACGTACCGTTGGGGATATTATCTAAAAGTTTTCATGCATTTGCAATAAATAATTTGTAAACGTACATTGAAGGGGTAAGCTGTTAATGGTCATTTAAAAATGATTTTGTACTTATAACTAGTTAATTTGTTTATTGTATGAAGTACAATAATTTCGATTTTAATCTACATATAATCTACAATTTTCCTTATCATTTATACGTGCGAAGATATAGATTTAAAACGGAAATTTCTGAACTAATCTAAGTCACCGAAGGTATCAGAGTACAAGTGTTCATTAAGTTTGAAGTAGGTACTACAGAATTGGTATCTAAAGATAAACGAACTGTAACAAAGTAAATAAATTAAACACTTAAGGTCATACTGATGTAAAGTTATTCTATTCGCTATTCACCGTGATCTAATTGATGATGAAGGGTTGTTTCTGCTACGAAAAATCATTTTTGATCGGTTTTTAAAATTCTTTCTTATAGTTTGATGTATAAGTAATAACTATAAAATTCCTAAATAACGCGTAATTTTCAATTTTTACAAGATTCATAACTGGAATGTGTAGCCAATATAATCTGCCACGAGTTACCACCGTAATGATCTAAATTTGTAGCTTCCAAATTTGAAAATTATTTGAGTAGGATGAAGTTATGAGTCATTTCTTTCAATTTCTCAAAAACGCATTTTTGTCAAAACACAATACCTCAAATGCATACTCCTTTTCGTTGCTGCTTAGTTGTGATGAAACGGGAAAGAAGTTAGCAGAAGAATGAGCAGGACATTTACACCTAAAATTATTTAATTTTTTATGTGAAAAAAATACTCATATGAAAGATTAAATTGGTATTAAATAATCATTTTACAATGCTTAAGTAAACTTTTTAATATTTCTCCTATTATATATACGATAAAAATAGTTGTAAATGTTATTTCTGTTTAAATTGTTTTTGGAAGAAAATCAAGTATCGACTGAAAACAAAAAAAAAATTAGTCGTTACATTAGCAAACAGTTTTATTATTTTCTTTGGGAACTCGATAACAGGCTTGGGCTGTAGATAACGCTACCTTGGGTAATACAATGGCAAAATTCCTTCGAAAAATATTTGTTCATTATCATTAAAATTTTACTTACGGTCCTGCTGACAATTCAAGCAATAAATTCAATGCTTTTGTTCGTAGATTCATCCTTAATTAGACAGTCTTTGTTTCTTTCACTGGTTTGTTATTTTAACTAAATATTATATTGGTTTCAAAGTTCGTTGCTTATGTATTTTATCTGTAAAAAGCGTGCTTGTGTATATAAAACAAATAAAGAACATGAACTAATTTAACAAATACACATGTTATATCTCAGAATAAATAAACAACATCTTTATTTTATTCCAAGTTTACTATCGCTTTTATTACTATTTACTACTTTGAGTACATGGTGTTATCAGTATGCTTCGCAATGATTAAACGTAAAAGAAAATAAATAAAATGGGGCGCAGCCCTTTTTCCTATAGCGGTATTTAAGTAGGTACAGATTCTATTTAATTTGTCCCTTTGTGAAGAGTGGTCAAATTTTGTTTTGTTTTTTTTTTTTTAGAAGATTATTGTTTATATTGACATTAATACTCAATATCATTATTTTATGCAATGCCATTTGCATTTTTTAAGCAATATAAGGAAGTAAGTAGGCAGTATTGATAAATAATTATATGTAATAATAATAACGCGCAATTTTTCAATACTGTTGATGGAATTACATTACCGGCTGTTTAGGTCTGTAAAAAGATTTAATTAATATACAAACAGTACCTACGTCACACTGCAAAATACATAATGATAAAACGTTTCTGTACCTTAGCAATTTCAAGTCAACAAATTGTTATCAAAAGATATGTGCATTTGAAGACCTTTTCTTCATTTATGTAGCAACTTGTTGAACAACTTAGTTTTTTTAGACTTACCTGTTGATAAAAGTATCTTTGTCGTCATGTTTTGCAATTCAAAGTTGATACACACTTCATTATGAATGCAATTGATTTTTAAATACTTTTTGCGATGTTGAATGCGATAGTTTATGACATTAGACAAATCGATGTATAATTATTACGAAAATAAATGCGTTAACGTAAAATATGTATTTTTAATATGTAATTAATTTTGTTAACGTTTTAAGTATAGAAAAGCAATAAGTAATTTCTAGTTGAAATATGTCTGGATAAGTAAGTTTTTCATTTTCGATGCTCTCGTAGTGTGTTTATAGATAAGTATTACGTATATTTAACATATGGTTGACATTGACTGCTGGTATAGAACGTTAAAGAGAATTATGCAATTGTTTAGAACGTTTTGAGTGTTTCAAATTATCCAATTTAATCAAGAATATCTTCTTGCCATACGGAATGTTCTAAATTAAACACGTGGTATATATGCAATGGATAATGAATACAAAAATGTAAAACGAATGATGCAAACCGAAGCTGAACGTGTTATCTAGGAATTATTAATGATAAATATAATTTTATGGAAACGTATGACTAATATTTAAAATGAACAATGAAATACATTTGAAATTGCGCAACGATATGCACATTCGGAAAATAAAGAGAAATCATTAAATAACAAAATATATTGAAAGTTAAAAATCATACACGAATTTATAATATGCCTACGTATACATGGTATTGGAATTTTAGAAGTACCTAGCCATGATCGTAACGTTACTAACAGTTAATACTATTGTTAATACCATTAAATGCTTAAATTTACATTTAGTCTATCAATATTTGGATGTGTCTCATTATAATTTAGCGAAAACAATAACTTTTTCAAGGGATAGAATTGTGCACTGTTGGCAGTTTTTGATATCTGTTCACTTTTGGTGTCGGTGGCCCGGTCCTTTCCTCAGATAGTTGTTGGTAGACCGATCCGCTGTGTTTTTTCAATTTATTTCCGGCGCCCCATTGTGGGATTTTAAAGTGGGGAAGATTGCCATCCCTTTGGACAACTAAAGCTCCTCGCGAACGAAGAATTAGTAACATAGCGTTGGCAGCAATTACAAGAACTGATGCTGCAGTTAGGATAAAAACTAGCGTTGGAGATAAATATGCAAACGATTCTTCCGTCTTCTTTTCTCTTAGACGTCGCGATTCTACCGCTAATTTCTGTAAATCGAGTTCTGATTTTATTTGTTCGAATAATTTATCGTCGTCTTCGTCGAAGGGACTGTTTTCTTCGCTCTTTTGGTCGTAATCAATATAGTTATTGTATTCGTCGTCGTCATCGTCGCCCTCGTCTTCGTCATATTCATCAGAATTTTCGGTATACGTTTTCGGTTCGATATTGAGTTTACTTTCCAGAAGGAGTTTATTATCGATCTCTTTTTCGGTTTCGACTTCGTCGTTGTAATAATTGTCGAAATATTCTTCATCTTCGCAAGCGTCTTTTGCCAATTTCTTCCACGAATGGACTTTATCTTCGGTCTCGTCGAATACGTTGACATCTTCGATGAAAGATTCGTGCGTTTTGGTAAATGCTGGACGAACTTCACGCTCGGTCAGCCACGTTATTGTATCTCGAAGTATCTGAGAACATTCGATTGGATTGTTTTTTATGTCCAGGATTTGTAAGTTTGTCAAAACCTGGAGGTCCCTCGGACTGACCGATTGGAGTTCATTGTTCGAAATAAGAAGCTCTCTAATGCTTGGCATACTGGCATGCTGTAACGTATTCTCTGCCCAAAGTTTTTTCAAATGGCATGAACTAGCGTCTATAGATTTGAGAACCCTATTGTGATTAAACATGGTTGCATCCAAGGGTTTCGTGAGTGGATTTCCAGCGATGATGAGTTTTTCCAATTGGCCGAGCGAAGCGAAGGTATCAACGTCGAATTCGCTAATTTTATTATGGGATATGTCGATTTCGCGTAAACCAGGAATTGCTTCGAAGATTTCTGGATCGATTTTGGTAAGTTGGTTATTCGAAAGGTGAAGAATAGTCAGACCTCGCATGTGTACAAAAGTTTCTCGTGAAAGTTCCGTCAAATTGCAGTTGTTACATGAAAAAGACATTACGTCAAAGAAGTTGTTTTTGTTCGTAAACTTTGGTAGTTTTTTAATGTTATTGTTATCTAAAATAATTTTCGCTAACTCGCTGTTTTTGTCGAAAACGGTTGCATCCAAATTCTCTAGTCTGTTGCTCGCCAAATTGATAGTCTCTAACTTTTTCATGTTAGCAAAGGCATTTTTAGGAATGTGTTCTATTTCGTTCTCGCTCAAATCAAGATACGGTAGTATGTCGAAATTTTTACCGAAAGTCGCATTAAACGATTTTAATTTGCAACCTTTCAAATGCAGCGCTTCTAAGATTGATATTATGTTAAGGTTGAATTGTTCGATCGGATTGTAGCTCAGATTGAGGGTCACAAGTTCCATGTTGTTTTCCAGAAGATTTGGCTGTAAGTGCGTTAAATTATTCCTGGCGAGACTTAGACTTTCCAAATTAGTCAGATTGATGAAAGCTAGAGAATGTATCTTTCGAATGTTGTTATTTCCCAGATTGAGAAATATGAGTTCCGGCAGATTATTGAACATGTTCTCCGTAATTTCGGAAATTTGACATTTCGACATGTCGAGTTCTTCAAGCGTTTCAGATTTTAATGTGGTGAAATTTCCCAATTTGGTTCCGGCCAAATTGAGAGCCCTTATTGTTTTGACGTTTGAAATAAGTTTCGAAGGTAAATTGTGCACGTCAGATCGTAAAATACTTATTTTAATGAGAGTTGTTAGTTGTCCGAAAGCCTCTTCGTCGATTTCTGTAATGGTCGCGTTTTCAATAGATATATGATTTACAGATTTGAGTCCTATATCATGAAAAATGTTCCTAGTAAGCACTAACGGTTCAGACGGATTCACTATCTTCAATATGGCAAATTTGTCTTGAAACACTTCCACATCCAAAGAATTGCACTCTGCTGTCGATGTGTCGGTACAGTTGCAACTTTTGGGACATTTTATAGATTGTTGCGCAAACCTTAAAGCTTCCGTCAAAGCGAAGACAAAGGCCACTACCATGCAAAACTGGTATGACATTTTCGTGGGATTGCTCTTCATTTTCCTATATGAGAAATAACTTAAATTAGTTGAATTTAATTCACTGCATTAGTTAAAGAGTGACTGTTTTAAATACACTACCTAGAAAATTTCAACTGAAACTTTACCTCAGCATGAGTGCCAAACAAAAGAGATAACTGCTCAAAGATAAACACGAATCTTATCTAATCATACATTTGAACACCACATTTCCATTTCAAATACGTAAAACTTGCTAAATCAGATCAATATTCGATATATTTATCTGTCCAGTTAGTATTGTGCATTACTAACTGACCTTGAGTGCATGTTAAAACTAAATCCACTGCACACATTTGACGAGCACTTCTGACTTAAGTACGACATTATAGCCATTTTTTTTAACGCTCTTGTTTAAAATAATGGACTAATAATTCGGTTTGAAATGTAACGATGACTTACCTGTAAACTTTTTACACTTTTTTGTTGTTTTAAACTAGTGAAGCACAATCTAATACTATCACATGAATTTAAGGCACGAATTTCAGATAAGACTTACACGTATTTTCCAGACTTGATGATAGGTTTCGCTTATTGTAGAGACTGTCTACCTGTTCAACATACAACTCAGGTGAGCGGGGGTCGCCCCCTTTGTCACTTTTGTTCGCTTATGTTCGTTCAGATGGCGAGACTATTCAGTATAAACAAATTTTTAATAACATTTATATATGCTTTTAGTTCTGACGTAACAAACTAGTCATTTGCACGAATAATTCGTAAACATTATCGGTTTTATTTGGAAAAATAGATGCTCAACGAATCGTTTTTGCGCGTCATCATTGCGACATCTCGAGCAGCCATAATTTCCATTCAAAGCCTTTTGAATTTGAATTTATATATTTAAATTTTGAGGTAATAATTCATTTAATTCGTTTTCAAAACACAAAGGATTATTTTACCTGACTAACCCTCAGCTTATACTTTTCAATCAAACTTTGACGTTTAGGGGGATTAGTGATTTACGTAAGATAAAAAGTTTCAAGAAAACGGTAGCGTATAAGCCCCTTTATTAATATTTTTAGTGCACATGTTCGTTACCTTGCTGTAGAAAGAATACAATTATCTTTACTTATAAAACCATCCAATAAAATTGAAATCAGGCGCTTTAATTTAAAATGATCTTGACCTTAGGTTCATATAAAGTCGAGATAGTGACAGTCTGCATGCTCGAAGCGATACAAAAATAACTTCTCAGAAATTATTTTACATACTTACCTCTTTTTTTAAACATTCTTTAAAGTTGCTACATGTTTCATTTTTAGAATATACTTAGCCACAATTAGTTTCGAGGGCGAAAAACAACTTTCCCTATCCTAAATCTAGATTAAGGTAAGAGACATCTAATATTAGTACCTACTGATATGGAAATGAACTGATTGGCTTATTTCCCTATTAATCGACTACATATAAAAGAAAGTAAAGAAAAAATGATTGACCGAATGTATACAGTATTTAATAATGATCCATTAGTTTATGCGATAACTAAAAGGAATGATATTGTTAGCGGTATATAGGGGTCATGGTCCCACTCGTACCGTTGCCTTTCCACCATGTCGGTACCGTCCATGATACAGACCACCGATACCCACCAGTAAAACTGTGCACAATGTGCAATCATTTGGACAAAAACTGACCAGTCAGTGGTGTAACAGAATATTTTATGTCATACCACTTATTTGTGCATATACAAGGAAAAGCGCCACGCTTATAAAGCACATTCGACCATAAGCATAATTTACTTCCTGTAACAAAAAGAATAAAAACTTATTCGTGTTTCATGATATCAAACTTTTCGAGATCCAGTTTCAATGTAAAAATAAATCGACGATGATGGTTTTAGAAAAAATTCGCTTAATCGTGGATACACGACTATTGGTGAGTTTTAAAGTAGTCGGGTTGGATTTTTCGTGGGTGAAGATTGTAAGCAACTTTTGGGCGAGTTTCTCACGTCGCGTTTGTTGATAAATTATCTGGCAACAGATAAAGTTTTGAATGGAATCGCGTTTTGGATGCAGAGGTGTGTTTCGTACTCTGCCCCATGTGTAAGGTATATTCGCGCGTATATAAGGTGTGTTGTTTTATTTATATAACTTCTATTGCATAGATACATAGATGTACGTGTACATAATAATATATAGATATAGTTAGTTAGGTTGTTGGTAAGTCGTCGGCGCTGCAATAGCAATCGGTGTCCTGGTCGTAGGTTTTGTATGCCTATGCCGTGCTTTCCGCTGGCCGCAGCATGGGTCATGCTACGTGGTAGAAGTGGTGGTGACACACTTTTATAGATGATTCTACCGGCGTCAGTTTGACAATTTACCGGAGTCAGTTAGTATGACAATTTGACTTCAAACGAGCATGCTTCTCTGATAAATAATAATACGGCCGCATCCCTTTGCCGCCTTCTGTTTATCATGACCGTATATTTGCCCATACATCTTATCGTCCTCGCTATCCTATCTAGTGGTTTCGATAACTATTTGTGAGTAGAGTGCTGCGGTGCGATTTTATTCTCCACTTCGTGCGGTGCACACGCCGTTGAATTACCTAATTTTTGTCTTACAATACTTTTCTGGTAAGTTTTGGCCAATTGTTTTTTTACTTGCTTAAACGATAACGTATCATTTTTTCGTTTTATTTGGCGAAGAAAGTTGCTTTTGAAAAGCACCAGCGCAATTTTCACAATTTAAACCACGTGGTTGTTCTACCGAATATCTTATCTAAAAGTTTCTAGTGGAACGTAATCTTATTTTTAACAACAACGAAAAGTTTAAAGGTCAGTTTTGTTCGACTTTTTTTTAGTCGTACGTTTACTGAATGAGTAAGCTCAAATTTGAAATTACTTACCACTTTACGAACGGAGATTGATGCTATTTGCAGCGATTAATATCGATATAATGCGTTTGAAATTACTTTTGTCCGCTGTTGTAACAACGTCTTTATATTTGTTGTATCGCGGATGTTAAATATTACCATGTAATTGTCATTCAAATAAGTCCTCTGTTGATTTTAATGTGTTTATTGAAAGATAATATCTCATATTCTTGGTTAACATGAACTAACTGGAGATAATGCGACAGATAGTTGTTATCACAAACCTTGTTCGTACATAAGCCGAGGTACAATACACGATTTTTGTGGCATTCATTTAAAATTAGTATGCATCCACTTAATAATAATAATTAAAATCACTTTTTTTATATTCCAGTTAAGATGTTGGCTATAACATGGGCCTTAATCGCTATCATCAGTTGCACCTATTCTGCTCCACTTCTCTCATGCCCAAAAAGCTGCTCTTGTATATCTTTTGGTCGTCGCATGGGTCTTACTTGTTCTTCGTTAGACTTCCTTCGGAAACCCCTGTCGCCTGAATTGCAAGCGTCAATAGTGATACTGACAGTGCGCGGAAAAAATATCCATTCCTTAGATCCAAAATTAAAACATTTGCGCAATTTAAAGTTTTTAGACGTTAGTTCAAGCGGTTTAAAGCATTTCACCGCTTCTGTAGTTCCTAAAGGTGTCGAATCTTTGGATATTTCAAACAATGACATTTCTTACGTTTCCGATTGGAATTTACTACCGGAACTGAAGAGTTTAGATATTACCGGTAATCCCCTCTCGTGTTCCTGTGACTCGTTACCGTTCCGCGACATGTTACTATCCAATACCAAGGTCAGGGTTGTCGAACCCGTTTTGTGTGATTCCCCGAAAGAACACTTTGGAAAATCCTGGCTTAAAGTAAATTGCATCTTCGATCCTGAATTTTTATTCGGTGAAATGCAAGGTGATGAACCTGTTGAAGGTTCGGGATCTGGTGACGGGTGGGCGGGACCTATTATCGCTGACACTCACGTAACGACCGAGGATTCCGGTCCAGTAGAAGAAGAATTTATAAAAGACAACCAAAACGTTGTAAATAGTGCAAAAACTATTACCGAACAACCCCCAACAGAAGACGAAGAAGAAGGGAGTGGTTCATTCGAATTTGTTGACGTATTCAACGAAACCAATCGCAGTTCCACAACTGTTTCTCCATTTGATGCCGACTACGATGACGAAGAAGAGCAAGACGGTGCTGAAGGGGAGCCGACCACGGTTATTTCCCAAGAACAACATCCCGCTATTTCGGTACATAGAGGATTTATTTCTTCCGGGTGCATTATCAATTGTTCAACTCCAGCTCCTCTTGATAGATCAGACGATAGCGAATCTTCTCCACCGCCAGGTCTAGTAGACGGGGTAAAAATAATAATGGGTGATATATTTGGAGTAGGTCAACCATCAACCCAACAACCCGAACAATCTTCAACTGCGGCCACGGACGCAAAACAAGAACAAGCGACGGAAGTTAAAGAGGAAGTATCGCAAACTCATCTCTCGGAGCAGGAATCCGCTGGACCAAAAGAATCTCCCAAGAAAGAGACCGACATAATCAGCGAAACAGCGGATACAACAAAAGAGAAAGAGAGCGCCGTCCAAAGCCAAGAAAGCAAGCAATCAAATAGCACATTTATTTTCTTGGGAATCCTCCTGCTAGTCATGGTTTGTTTGATTGTTTACGCGGTCGTTAAAAGGGCGGCAGCCAAGAAGAAGGGACGCAAACAGCGTTCTAACGTAGCTGGTCTTGACGAAAAACCAGGAGAAGAAATGAAACTCATTAAGCCAATTGGTGTCGAAAATGGTAAACAAAATGGCAAGCCAGAATCAATACCGTTAATAAATAATAGTCAGAATGGTACGAAAACGTATCCAGAAGATGAAAAAGTTCAAAAGAAAGAACCGGTCACACCTCCTGGTACGCCCGCTGACGATGAGGACGATGTGGAACTGCGACAAAAACCCAACGATTCACTGCTTACTCCAGAAACTAAACGGGTTACTATAAGGGCAAGCGAAATACCCGATTCGGTTTTGAAAACACCAATTCTGGTCACGCGACACATCGACAGTGATGGCAAAGTGGTAACAACCCCGAACTTAAATCAAAGAAGCGTCAAGTGATGATACAGAGAGAGATAGAGAGTGCTCTTTTTAAAGTCTGCTAATGTGATACGCTTAACTAACAAACATTGTTCCTAAGTGTAATGAGACGGAAGTGGTCTGAAAATTTTCGTGACATTACTTTAATAAGAAACCAGAAATTCATTATGTGATAACTTTAACGTGTATGTATGTATGTATGCTGTATGTACATATAGGTAAAATTCCGAATAGTAATAGCGCTTAATTTGTAGCTCTGGTTTCAAAACAAGCACAAAAAAAAACTGCGAAACAGTTTTTATTTTTTTAATGTAACTTTTCCTTTACAATCTCATGTGTCTTTTACTCAGCTATTAAGTAGTTGGTCTTTGTTTTCCTGTCTTCTTTCCAGGCTTCCCTTACCTAAAGGTACCTAAATCGGGTTCGAATATTTGTAATTTGTTTATTTCTCTAAAAAAATATGTTATATATAAATATCTACATACATGTATGTATAATATGTAATAAGAACTTCATTATCATCTTCAAAGAAACATTTTACTTATTTAATCATATGTAGTTGTATCGGTGTATTTTTCCGGAATTATATGCATAGGTATAAGTAGGTATATTTGTTTTAAAATAAGAATCGCCCTTGAGTCGTTTTTTTTTTTTTTATTTACTATATTATTAATGTTATTTTTGTCTTTGTAATTTAATTTAAACGTTTCAAAATAATCATTATAGTTTAATATTGAATGTTATCGCTGAACCAGAGCGAATTATTGGAAATATGTTAAGAAAGAATATATTCCAGCACTGAACTCAATAAATGAATAGAATTATTTTCGTTTGACTTTTGGCCGATGTTATAGAGTTCAAGGACTTACATTTTTAAAATGACGTATACGTATAAATGTTGTGTATCGTAGTATACGAATATAACCATTAATCCTTGTTGTTACTGCCCATGTAAAGATACTGAGAAACTTGCAAATTAAGCAAACTAAATGTGCACACTTACAATTAATCGCAGATTGCCAGGTAATAACGACCTTGTGGGCTCATGATGTAAAAATTTCCAAAATTAGATAAAGCATATTAACATTAACGTTGATAGACTCGTTGAAGAAGCAAACATTTTTTTTTTTCAAAACAACGTTAAAGTCTATTATATTTGAATTCATCGCTCATTTAGCTATTTCTACATAAATGTTAATTAATATTATTTTACTAAATTGGTGAAATGGTGTAAATTTAAGTGCTATTACATCAGAAGAATGCCATAAATTGTTATGTGTTTGGCGCAATTACAGACTAGGTGTACGTATAAAATGAACTCCTAAATGAAATTACGAAAAATTAATTAACGTTGAAGGTTACTATTCTGTTTCAACATTATACACGTATATTAATAATTCAAGTGTGACAAAAATACAATATCAAACGCTGATTATTTACAAAATTATTGGGTCATGTATGTACAATAATATTATTGTTCAGCGAGATATCTTTAGGTATTGTAACAATTAAATTAGAAAAAACTTGGAATTGATAACAATTTATACGCGAAAGCGTGAATCAGTCGCGCGTTGAAATAAAAATTACTTTTCTTAAGCTAGGGGACATTTTTATTACTTACACGGGTTACATCCATGCATAATTATGTTTGAAATTGTTTTTGAACGTCGATTCGCGCAAAATATTTGGATTTTGACCGAAGGTTTTATTTTTATTTACAGTAATTATGTTTTCTTGACGTCTATTGCAATGCCTACACATGCCAGACATTTTTTTCATCAATATCTGTCTGTACTTATCATTAGATGAAGTTAATTTATACAAAGCAAATATCCAAAGATTATTCTTTTTATTATTGGAAAATTTTTGTTTTGCATATATAATTACTCTTTATTAAGTATCTTTGCCATTTGTACCTGTAGTAAACATCGACATGTATACAGGGTGAGAGAAAGTGAATCGTTATTGTTTTTTATTTGTTTCAATATTATCAGCGATGAAAAGAAAGTGAAATTTTGGAGTCTGCCCAAATTTAACGAAAAAACTAAGCCAAAGTTAATTTCGTTATGAGATGCAGTTCGCAATGAGGAGTTTCACTTTTTGCCAAGCAAAACATATCACGAAAAACGTGATGTAAGAGCTAGATTCGCCTTATGATACTAATAAGGAAAGTAGAACAGTAGCAATTTTACTTCGTTCGTATGTAAAGTACGTCATATTCAATTTAAAATCATTTTTCGTACTGTTATGATGTTCCAACAGTTGCTATAATAATCATACAGTTTTTCTACAAGTGTCTAATTGTTTCTCTGTAATTAATTTTAATATTTTTGATATTCAAGTTCAACCAGCGGTTTATTAAATCTGAGTCTCAAGTATATTTTAAATTACATTAATAATTGACGTACCCAGTTAAAAAGATTTTACTAACGGTTCTGCATTTTCTAAAACATCTAAATTAAAAATTTTAATTTCTTCGACATTGGCTGACTTGCCTTGTGTGTATACAAAATCTACGTGTTCCACCGTATACATATACAATAATAACAATGATAAATATATTGACTTTGGACTGAAAAATACTTTTATTTTGTGTATCCTGTATTTAATCACAAGTTTACCTTTGCAAAGACGTAATTGTTTGACTAATGAAGGTATTTGGTTGCAATAGAAGATTGTGATTTTAATGAAACAGTTTGTCTGATGTTACTATTGTTTAATTACAAGGACAACTAATTTGTTTATGAGTCTACTACAAAACTAATTAGATTCATCATTAGCTATCATTTGTAAGTAATAAATGGTGACCAGTCGTATTAAGTTGAAAAAGAAATAATGCAATTTTTGATCAATAATAACGTTTACTTATATATAAGTATATAAGATTAGATGACCCTAATTATAAATAATAGAATAGAAAAATTGTATAGAATGGAGAAAGTTTCTGTTTTTGTAAAATCTAAAGGTAAAATGCATGATGTTATTCATTTTATATCCAAATGATCATGCTTAGTATGTATCAAGACTAATCCACGATATTAAATTTCTGTAAGCTGATAAGATAATGTACCCTTGGAGATTACTTTTAAAGGATTTTGCAATGTTTATTAGAAAACTGAATTGACAAATATGTATACATGTTATCGTCCAACTCAATTTCAGGAAAAATTAGTTTATCCTGAAATCGAGTTTTTTCGGTAAGTTTAAGGAAACTGGCGTAAACTGCAATGAATAATTTATTAAATAACGCTAAACTATTTCGTAAGTAAAAAAAATGAACGTTAAATATTTCCTTTCTTTGGAAGGTACTTTAATTATTAACAGCGTTGTACTAAATAGAATGAGAATAGAATAAAAAAAAAGTCAAGGCAACTCCTTCCAGACGTATTAGCACAAATTTCTTATTAGCAACATTAGTTGTTACAAAATTTCACGTCTTATTTAATGTAAATGTAAAACAGAAGTGGGTATATCATCTGGCCCACTCTACAAATAGGTATACTTATGGTATATAATTTTTCTGTTGTACAGATAGAATATTATCAGAATTTTTTAAAAAATAAAAACATCATTTCTCATTAAGAACAATAAATAAGTCTTTATTATATTCGTTTGTATTATTTTAAAGTAGGCACAACGACTATTTATTATTATTTAAAAGTACGCATTATAACTTCGGTCGAATTTAAAAACAAATATGAAAATATCCTTTCGTTTTCATGCAGAAATTTGCATTATTGCAAAAACGTTCATCAAACGGTGTGTATCGCTTACAAATCACTTTCGATGACATCATTCGAACGGGCTGAGTTTTCGTTATTTTGCCTGGTTTCGCTATCAGATGTAGCCTCTTCAGTATTTAGGCGTTCGCTGCTCTGGCCCTCGGCGTCACCGTCGAGGCCCGTTTTCACTTTATGCCGACTTCTTCTTCGTTTACGTCTAACCTTGCCCTCGGTTAAATCGCTCTGAGAACCACGCAGACTACGCCTGCTTCCTGATAGGTTTCTGTGACTACCGGACAAACTGAATTGGCTTCCGGCCAAACTTGAGTACGAGCCGTCTAGGCGAGGCATTAGAATAGCTTCGGCATACGACGGTGGTCTCTGAATTTCTCGTGGGTCAGGGGCATTCCTCTGGTTTATCTCTTCCTCTCTCGCCTGGTATTGTTGTTCTTGCATTCTTCTTAATCTGTCTCTGACTTCGATTCTCTCACGCTCTACCAATTGTCTTTCATGTATCTCCTTCAGCTGATACGCTCGTCTGATTGACATAATTATGCATATCAGAGTCACCGTTCCCACCATCAAAAATACGGAAAAGACCCAAACCTTGTCCGACCGATTTTCTTGGACGTACCAGTATTCCTCGCACGCCAATTCCCATGGCAGTCCTGCGAGATTTTCAGGGAACATGCAGCGTAATTGCGTCGTCGAGTGCATTTTATTTATCAGCCAGTCGTACAAGTTCTTAAAGTTGACATTTTTACAGTCGCACAACCAGGAATTGTCGTCTAATCTTACGATGTTGATATTGTGGAAGTATTCTGGTTTGATGCTGGAGGTTAATCTGTTTCCGGCAAGGTTGAGGTTACGCAGAAACGGCATCTCGTTAAATGTTTCATTGGTCAACGTAAATATGCGATTTAGACTAAGGTCAAGTGAATGGATTCTGTATCCAGTCCAGTTGTCTGGGAGAAAAGATATTAAGTTTCTAGCGAGATTCAATTCTTCTAACGACGGCATCATCGACAGACTAGTTCTATCCACTGACCTAATTTCGCAGACGCTCATGTCTAACGCTTTTACCGAATTCGTTGCAATGTGATCGACTTTATTTAAATAATTGTGAGACAGAGACAGTTTGGTCAGCTTGGCATTTCCCGAAAAGGTGCGTGAACCAATCGAAGATATGGTGTTGTAGGATAAATCGACGTCTTCTAGGCGATTCAACCCCACGAAAGCTCGTTCGTCTATCGAAGAAATGGAATTGTGAGACAGACTCAGCACTTTAATTGAAGGCGTTGTAATGAATGCCATTTCTTGAAGGTTTTTGATCTGGTTATTTCTCAAATAAATTTGATTTAAATTTGGCAGGCTATTCGTGGGATAGCTTTCTATGCTGCAGTTACTCAAGTCTAAAAACTTCAACGATCTCGAAGTAGAGTAAAACCTTTTCAAACGTCCGTTGTTACTTAAAATTAGTGTTTCTAATAGTACTAATTCAGTAAAAGCATCTGCACTTATTCTTTGTAGTGCGCAATTCGAAATCTCTAACGTTCGTAGTTTTTCTGCCCTTAGTATTGCATTGAGGGATGTTAATGGATTAAACGAAAGAACTAACTTTTCGGCATTAACCATTCCGGCCAGTATGTCACCGAAAACGTTTGTTATCGAACAGTTGTTTAAAATGAGAGTTTTGAGAGAGTCACTTCGCAAAGGATATTCTACAATTGCCGGGAATCCACGTAGATGATTATGAGATAAGTCTAATTGCTTCAAAGACTTAAGGGGTGTTAAAGAGCCCGGATGCAGGGCTCTCCAATCGGTTAAGCGATTATTGGAAAGGTCCAGGAGTTGTAAATTATTCATGCTGTCGAATGAATCCTGGTCCAAACTGGATATTTCGTTATGTGCCAGTACCAAAACCACTAACTCTTTCAATGCTGATACGTTTTTAGGAATCGACGTGAATTTATTGAACGATAGGTCCAATCTTGTAGTCTAGAAAAAATAAGATTATATAACACTAAAGCGACTGATGTGTCTTCTTACCTCTGGATGTAGCCCATTCGGCAATTTTGAAAAACCACCATTTTGACAGTCCGCGCTGATTTCGAGAGCGGTACAGACACACTGCTCTGGGCATGGTACTTGGTACTCGGCGATCGTTTGGGCCCAGTTCATGCCCATGACGACAAATAAAAATGCGCTTATGTAGGACATGTTCATAATTAATTAATTCTATTAGCTTATCTAGCTGTACTTGTTTCGTAAATAGCGCGACTCACCGTTACATTTCATTATTATTTCGTTTCTCCAGTTTCTTCAAATTTTAACGGATAACAATATCTAGTAACTTTGCACTGCATTAATATTTAGTTTTAAAATGGTGTTCACTTAGTTAGTCAACAGCAGATTAGAATTTCTATCTACCGATATGTCATGCTTCCCCACCCGACTGTTTTACAGGTAGGTACACTAATTCTTATCGTACTCTTATCTCTCAATTCCCTCGTGCTCATGTGTTTATTCGTTAAGCAGGTAATACAGGGCATTATCTTGCGTAGAGCAAATACAGCCTTAATAGTATCTTTCTTTGCCGAACAAAAACATTTTTCGTTATATTGAATAAAAATAATAAAATACAACACTAATTCGCTTCAATAAAGAAAAAAAAATCACATTTTTGTTAAGTGTTTCACATGTGCAAAGTTGTTAGCGAAGCGCAGCAGTCTTATTAAAGTTTAATCACAATTATGACAGCCGCTTTCGGTTTACTGTAATAAGCAATGTTATAAATGAAAGTGATACCGTTATACGGCATTGTAACAACACCAGACAACAAACAGTCAGTCAAGTTTAGTAAATGCAAAAAAAAAACGTCGGGTCTAACAAAATTGGACGATTATTGCTGAGTCACAAAAGAAAAAGCCTCCGGTTCGACTCTTTGACTGGTGTTTTTTATCCGAGATAATTAATGCAAACAGGCCATTCTGACTTAATCGTTCTTCTTCATTCAAGTCCATTTTGTTGATAGATGAACGAATATTAACTACGGGGGTTTTTCTGGTCATCTATAGATAGATCTCTGAATTTTTTTGCACTATTCGCATTAAGTACTTATTTACTCATTAAGGAAACAGTTTGAATGCAGTCTTGGTATGGGATTAATATACCTACATGTATAGGTATGTACCTACATATAATATAGTAATATAAAAAATCCAATTCGTATCTATATTGAGAATAACGCTTTTGCATATCAAGCTGAGCAAGCTGCATTGACCGTTAGCATTTTGTGCTCGAAGTAACTCCTTTGCTGATTCGACGAATTGTTTTAGAATCGAGAGGCGAAGGATTTATCAGGCATGCAGCTTTTATTTTCCCTGCAACTTTGCAAGGATCCTTATTCCTTGATACTTATACCTGTTTCTAATCGAACCAAGCAATGAAATTATTATTTTTTTGAAATATGTTACGGTCAGAGATGGTTTTTAAATACAAAATGCAAATACTTTTTCAATTTGCTATTTCATATTAGGTATGCAAAACGCAAAAAATATTTTTCCTTTTGCATTTTCAAAATATTTTTTTATTGTACTTAATTGTCTTTATTTATTTAAGTATAAAGAATTTTGGATGTTCTTGCTTTAGGGAAATGCGAAGATTAGCTCATTATAGGAAAGAGTGGAGGTGCGTGTCCAACCAGTACCAGGATGCTCAGGACTAACGACGCTATATGATGAAAGGATTTTTAAGATCTTTTTTTTAAGGTCATCAGTCCTAAGACTGGTTGGACACGTACCTCCACTCTTTCCTATCCTGAGCTAAACTTCGCATTTCCCTAAAACTAAAACAGCCCACATCCTTAACTATTTGCGAACAGTAATCTAATCTAGGTCTACCTCTCCCCCTCCTAACTCCTGTTTCTGCCTCTAATATGTCTCTGACTAGACCTTCATGCCTGAGAAGGTGTCCTACCAACCTATCTCGCCTATTTTTTATTGACTTCCATAGAGTCCTCTGTTCTCCTATTCTTTCCAATACCTCTTCATTTCTAACCTTTTCTACCCACGATATCCTCATCATCCGCCTATAACACCACATTTCGAACGCTTCTAACCTTTTCTATCATCTGTTAAATATTAAAAAATTAAATGGTCTTTTAACAAATTATAGAAGATCGAATAAAATGAAATCGGTTCAAAGTAAACTAATAATTACAATTTCCTTCATAGTTCATTAGTACTTATAGGTAATGAAAAACTACAAATTTTCTATGCGACAGTTCGTGCATTAACCTTATAAGAAACATGTGTTTTTATGTACTCATTTACATATTATATACACTTGCATATGTGTTATTCAATGCACCACCGATTACATGAGCTTTCTGTCATTTAATACTTACCATTACGAAGGCATAGGCATATATCTAATAGTTATTGCAAAAAAATGCATGCCAATTTTTTTTTATTAGATACTCAGACACGAAAATGATTTTATTGTTTATAATACAACATAATTTTTTAATAAGTATATAATAATTCTGGTCTGTTCTAAACGTCCGCATAAAAAGTTCGCTTTTTGATGTGTGCTTCGTTTTCTGTTCTTAGTCCATTACCTACCTTAAATGTCCCCGAGTAAAGGTAGACATAAGGCGCCAAATTCATAAGAAAGAATTCCTTTTGTGGCTCCATACCACTTAAAATTAAAATTAAGTTTAGATAATAAAAATACCAAGCCGACGTTTGTGAGAGAACCTTTTCTTCAAACCGTTACGGGCTCAAAAGAAAAGAGATTTCGAAAGTCAAATAAATCATCAGCTGAATGCACTTTGTAATCCTTGGCGAGATCATTTGCTAATTTCTAACTGAAAGGTGGCAATTTAGAACTCGACTTGTACGTAAAGTTTAGCTTTTTTTTTTAACGAAATGTAGGCTGTAAATTTATTGTATAACGATACGATAAAATAATTGTCTGATAAGTATTCACAATTAATGTGTGAAATCAGTGATAATAAAACAATCTCAGGTACCTACATAGGGGATTTCTCAAGTAAATCAAGATAAAAAAATAAGATTTTAAATAAAATTTAACTAAACACTAGTTTTTTTTGTTCATCGACATACAATAGTAAATTAAAACAATCGAAAGCTATTATCAGATATTAATTTTATGTTTGCTTTTCTTCTAAGTATTTTATATCTACGCAATATAAATGATTGGGTATTTTGTGTTTTTCAAAATTGTTAATGTCTTGTTTGCTCAGGTCGACATTTTCGTAAAATTTAATTAGTTTTTAAAGAAACTTTCTAACTATAATAATAAATGTCTTTCTGGTGTGGTTACTGCAGTAATTTGGACAGTTAGTTTTAGTCGGGTGTATGTATGAGGTGTACATGCATAACGGCTTATTTTAACGGAGTTTGACTTCAACGATTTCGAAATTTCTTATCTTTATGTTAATCTTGAGAAACGATACGCATATTTGGGTATATCTAAACGTTTTCTACACGTATAACAGCCCATAAAGTTAATTTATATAAGACATTATTACATCGTACAGTAACCCATGTACCCACTTTCAAATTTTGCAATGCACTTTTAATTGACTTATTTCCTAATTAAAGTCACATCGTCTTTGTATTCAATATCCAACTGAAGTAAATGTGTTTTTTGACCAGTATTCGATGCAACAACTAACAGGGGAAATTCCGTAATTAAATTTCGCTTGATTCAAAGTACTTTCCAAAACTGCATTAATTTTCCATCATGATCTTTCCTGTTAAGATACATTTCTCTTCGTTTGGATGAGTAATTCTTAATGGCAAGCAAAATTACAATTATGTAATTGAAAATGCAGTTAAAAATGATTAATTATTCGCAGTATCAAACACCTTATTTTTTAAAATTTTCCGATATCATTTCCGTTTTAAGTTTTGATAATCCCACATACCAAATCTATTTAATTTATTATTGCATAGTTTTGCACATATTGATAACATTAATTACTTTATAATTTACAACATTCCTGTCCTATTTAGGAGATTCTTTCCTTGTTCTGCGTCTTCTCTAACTCGAACATGAGCAAACTGGTTGTATTTGGGATGTCCAAGTTATTTAGGGATGTCTGACTGCAATCTAGAAAAAAAACTCAAAAAAAAAAACTATATCAGAAAAAGTCTCATTGATATTTCAGTAGATTTTAGTAGACCACTTGCTGTTTAATTGTAAGAATGGTGTGTGATATTGTGACTAATATTATTGGAATTTTAAACGTAGTACCTACTATGCAATATGCATTTATATACATACAATAATGTTTCTAACTGTTGTAAAAAAATTGTTAATGTTTTTGTAGCTGTTGCAAGTATATCCTGTCGATTAAACAGACCTTTTTCAATGGGTGAGTGTTACAATTAAAATTTCTGTGTGTTACTAGCGGAATTACGTGTTGATGTAGTAACTGTTTACCTACATTAGTTACTTACTTGTTTGTAATCAAACAATTAGCTTTCGCTAAGTAGGAACAATGTGAAAGAGTTTTTGTGTTTTAAAGCTAGTGGTGGAAGGTGAAACTTTCATTTATCTCTATCGTTGTATCCGTGAACAGAATAAAGTTTTTACTTCCAATTTCCTGTTAGACTGGAGACAATCCCATTCTGCGAACCACTGGACACCATTAGTAAAGACTGGGTGGCTTTCAGCAGGTCTAATTACCGACGTCCTGCCATACAAACATAAGCATTCTATTTGACAGTCTATTGGGACATTTTGAATACTTTATCAGCCGTGTTGTACATCCGGATTTTATTAAAACCTCCAACCGTTTCGTTTCGCAAAAATTTTTTTAGAATTAGCTAAAATACAAAATGCGATGGATAATCTCTGGAACGCAATTTATGCCAATTGTCCAGACCAAAATCGCTCCAAAAAGTTTTCATGTTACGTTAGAGTATTTTATTCACAAAAAGCATTAGTTTTATACATTTCCTAGTCCAATATCGGAATTTCATACAATTCCTCCAGGCTCCAGGCCAAAATCGCTCCAAAAATTTTTTGATCGATTCCTGGTCATTTCTGAGGGTTCGACGATTATTTTTGAGGCAGGGGAGACATTTTTTTTTATTACAGCATACATCATAAGGTTTATGGTGTAGATATGTATAGCTGTTTCTTCTTTTAATTTTAATAAAAGAATTCTATGCAGTGAGATAAGTAAGATAAGGAGATTAAAAGCTTGTATAGCTTTTAACAACCCCCCCCTTCCACCCCTGATCTCTTCACCAACCTCTTCCCTACAGCTTAGAAGTGTGATTGGAATGTAAAATGACCGAAAATCGATAAAAATAATTTTTAGAGCGATTTTGATCTAATACTAAATATTTTGTATTATTTCAATGCAGAATCTTAGCGTCTGATATTTTTAGACGACCTC